GTGAAGTATTGAAAATTATACCTTTTTGTTGTGTGACCTTCAGTTTTTGTTGCACGAGAGGGCCTTCAAAAAACCAATTCCAAAGTTTTTATACCAATTGAGAATGCCGAAATACTAGTACTTGGACACTTTTGTCGAGAAGTCTTGAAAATTGCAGTTTTTTGGATATAATCAGCTTTCAAAATAAGACTCTATATGGAGAGTAGTGAAAAAATGGACCGGTACTACTACTTAGTCTTTTTCTGCCGAAAAATTTGGAAAATTGCAAATATTTTTCCATATAACGACTTTTTAAAATGGAATGTTATATGGGAAGCGGGCGAAAGAGTGGATCGATCCACACCTTGTTCAATAGTGTTCGTCATTGGGCCAAAACACGTCAGAGCACCAAATTTCGTCAAAGTTTCTGCGATCGGCAGCTTGAAAACAAAAATACATAAAAAGGCATCAGACGGGCGAACAGACTTAGATCGGTTTACGATATGATGATAAAAGATGAGTCTACCTTCAGCTTTTCTGGTTGTTGCAGACGTCCGCACTAACCTACTGTATCCTGTATCACAAGTGGTGTAGGATATAAAAAGCAAAACAGAGCACTCAAGTTCACCGATCTTCCGATTATCTTATCAGATAAACTCGATCTTATTATAAAACGCATTTAGCACCCACGATCAAGCTCGCAATAAGCAAAGCAACAATAAAAGCATTAAAAAAATTAGGAATGATCCACGAAAAAGCATACCACACAATCGACAGTAAACTCTGGAAGCTGGAACTACCACCTTGTATATGTGATTCAATCCAAAATCATATGAAAGTATTTTATAAGTAGCAAACGATATGCACTCAGTCAACGATATGTTAGCAATGTATTCGTACCAAATGGTGGACATCGAAGATTCCCTTTAAACGAATCCTTTCTAATTATTATTCTGCGTTAACTTTAAATGCGAACAAGTAGAACCATACAGTCACGCACAACCGACCTTTAAATACCTAATCCTTCGCTTAAAACAGTTATTCATGACACGTTATATTTTCTCATAAACGTCTTTTGATAATTAAAACTTTATATGGAAAGTTGTCGAAAATAAAGCCTGATCTGAAAAATTTTCAATAGCGTTCGTCCAGGTCAATGCGTACGACATTTCCTAAAAATATCTCAAAAATCACGGCGTGGAGGTTAATAAGTGCTCCCAAAATCGAACCATATAGTAATGGCGGCTCTATCCTAAGTCTTTATGCGTGTTATGTACATCCCTACAAATAAACATCTGTGGTGCAGGGTATATGAAAATATATATAAAAAAAATTTCTCTGATCGTCAATGTGTGATCGAATTATTTGTAAAGAATTCTCTTTGAGACCGCCAAAGTATAATCGAGATACTCGTAAAGCTAGAATAAGAAGAAAATGTAAAGTTATTCATACACTTACCTGAAATAGTAATTATCCAAGAACTCATTAATAGTTTATTTTATATCGTTTCACCAAGTAGTCCTAGTACACTAATTCAATCGTAAGTACCGTCTGCAGATTTCCAAGAAAATACGCAAGAAAATCGCATTCAAATAAATTAATTTTTTTAATTAATTTCAAATTCTGACTCGATTTGACCCTATACCTGCCATAATACCTAAAAATTGAAATTTTGCTCATAGATTACTAAATATGGACTTGATCGACCCATAAACGATAAACGCTAATACAAAAAAAAATCAGTCCCCATCAGACCTGCTTTTACTATGAATTTTTATTGATCTTTAGTTTAAAGTGTTTTCACAATCCCTGCGGATGCATTATGTAAGTAAGTAGTGTCTTGTGATTTGCAATCGACATGAAAATATAATCAAAAATTGCTACGCCCGAATCAATATAGGATTTTGAGACAAATGAACAAGATTCGTCCGTCCTCGTCGTATAAGAATTCTAAATATAGAAAGTATTCACTTCTCAGGTCAAAATTGAGTGAACACACTCTTGACTAATAACTGCACTTCAAATATCAAAAAATATTAGACCTCCAATCTATTATTTTTTTTTTTTCAATTACCCGACGGGAAGAAGAGTTTATCAACAGAGCGAAATTAACTTCTAACCGAAATTTTAAACATTACTCCACGCGCACTACCTTCGCTTCTATTGCACCGAAAAATTTGCTTTAATTTTGGTCGCTTGAAGCTTTTCACGCTTCTACAGCACATAGGATTTGAAAAATTTTGATTTCTTACGCATTTCACTCAAGTATTTTTAAATCTCTAATTTTATCAAATTTTAAAAAATTTCACTTATTTTTTGTTGTAATTTTTTTATGTATATATTTTTTTTAATTTTCTTTATCACCATTAAATAATTAATAAAATATAAAATTAATCGTTTGCTATTTTTTCATTAACATATTATCAGATAAGCTTAACTAAAAGTATATGGATGAGTAATTTATCTTCCTTAGCTATGGCAAGTGAACGATTGTAGTAATTCTTCTCCGTTATAAACAGAAACCAGAACAAGAACAGAAAGCCGCTTAAGTAATTTTCTGACCTGTTCATGGTGTAAGTGTTGAATGGCAACTGGTTGGCGCCCGTTTGTTCAATTCTGTTAATCAAGTTCACTATAACCGGCAGTCAATGGTAGGGGTTGTTTGTTACAATATTCCCGACCGGCTTTTAATTGTGCGCATGTTCGTTCGCACAAAATCTGAAAATCAAAACAGAAGGAACAGCAAATAAATATTCATTCATAAAACCAATTTTGTACTTTTCCTACTTTCCTTAAAAAACAAATCCAGCATCATCAGTACAGCGAACCCGGCACGCAAACACCATGCACCGCTTCACGTAATGCAATACTTCGCTTGCCCACAAATACAAATTATACGTTACCATATGAAGGCTTACCTTTCCTATGAGAGCCCTTGCATTGTGAATTAGAATCCGAGTAGATAAATAAGCCCTGGTGATCAAAATTTAGTGCAGTTAATTTATACCCTACACTTCTTACTGTAGTACGGAGTGTAGTGTACCATGCTAGTGCGGACGTATGTAACGCGCAGAAGGGCTTGAGATAGACCCATCTCTTATTATACCAATCGTTACAGAATCATAATTTGAGTTGACGATAAGCCTGATTGTCCGTCTGTCCATCCGATCTCTATCTATGTAAATTTGTATTCAAGCTAAAGGTTGCATTTTTCGAGATATTTTTATGAAATTTGGTGCAGTAACGTGCTTTGAGGACGAACTGTTCCCCATATAATGCCCTATTCTGAAAAGCCTTTATAAGGTAAAAAATTGCAGTTTTTAAATTTCTCGGCAAAATTGGCTAAGTAGCAGTATTTCCGCATTCTAACTTGGTATGGAGACTTTAGACTTATGGGGCAATTTTCTCTCGTATGACGAAAACTGAAAATTATATTATAATAGTAATTTAACATAAAAAAATTGCTTGTATCAAATTTGGACCAACTCGGCCTATTTTTTGGATTCTACCCTAAAAGGAATTTTCACGAAAATTGATCCTTTATAGAGCAGAAAGGCTAACTTTTAAGATGGTATGATGAAAATTCAATATTTAAGAATTATGTTAGGCAATGTGGTTTAGGGTATTTAATAGGGGACCTGTACTGTTCTTACTTGTGTTGTTGTCGACTTGCTTATATGGACCAATTTTCGTCGTAAAATAATAATAGTTCGAGTTTGTCGCCATGGAAAAGTTTACTTCTAATGAGAACTCTTACATAGACAGGTGCCCCAAACAGCATCTTCGTCTAGATCCAAACCTTAACACAGAAAATGTAGGGGCCAAGTTACTATTTTCTAGAAATATTTATCACAAAATACTAAAAATTAGATCAAGTTGCGTATTCAAGACACATCCGGTCCCATCCAAAGTTGCGTATTTTACTAATATACCAAGCTCTGTTTTGCACCTGTTGAAAATTACAGATGGCTTTCACCTAACACCTATTTTTAAATATATTGTTATGGGAAGAATGGCCGCGACGTGATTTATAATAGAACTGGTTTTTGAGCCCAAACGTCACAGCGCGCCGAGATATCTCGAACATACATATATGAACGGACTTTCAAACGCCATATGCGCACAAATTATTATATGTAGCCTTTGGCGTCCCATCTAAATTTTGCAAATACTAGATTAGCAAAATTATGAAGGTTGGCTGAGTTTAACTAAAATTGCCCTCTATTTGGAAATATTTTTTTACTTTATGATGTCTTTAACACAAGTATCTGCCTGCTAAAAACAAAGCAACACAATGTATATAAAGAAACTATATTCTTACTCAGCGCAAGTTATGTGTACACTGACCTTCTTATCCAGGAAATACGCTCTATACCTGTTAAATGTTTGCGATCGCAAAAGCTAAGATTAAAAGATTAAAATTCGGTGTAAATGTGATGGTCCGGTGATAGACCAGAAATTATGACTTTAAACCCAACTGACTGCACAATCAATTGAAATTGAAATTTGAATACTAAAACAGCTAACAAGAGAAAATCAAGGAGAAGAAGAATAATAGCTAGCTCTTTCTCTTTTGATAGTGATGTATTCGTCGCGTTCGACGTAGAATTCGGCGAAAACGCTAGAAAATTTAAAAATTATTCTAAGTTGACTCACTGTCACAAAACATTTCGTCTCTATAATTTCAAGGTAAAAATAAGTTACTCTAGGAAAAATCCAATTTTTCTTCCAAAAAAAAAAATTAAGTTTATTAAATAAATAATACTAGGTAAACTAATTCTCAATTGCTTTTTTTTTTTTAATTAATTATTGTTTTTTTTCTTCATCCCAAGAGTTTTTTTAAATAGCAAAACACATTTTCATATATATTTTTTTTCCAGTTTTCATTCCACGGCCTTTCCGAATTTTAGCCCAGAGTACGGCTTTTACGTCCTCGAACGTGTTAATATTATACATAAATGCGACTCTGTTAATTTGTTCTCGTTATAAGTAAACATTCGCAACTAGGTGTCGCTTCAATATTATTTGACATTTGCTTTGACAGTGCCAAGCATTCATTAAAATATTCCTTTTTTGTTGAGAGTTTCATCACTAAAAGTGCAAAAATGGTATGTGCTGTGAGAATAAATCTTAAATTATTTAAAACATCTTTGCAAAATATATTAAATAAATTGAAAAGTATAGTATTTTCAATTGGGTTAAGCAAAACGAAGTGTAAAGTTTTCGAAATGGATAGAATATTAATGAGATAATTATTATTAATTCTAGTCGCTCGTTATTCCTGAGAAATTCCAGCATATATTGCGTATTATGAGTACCAATATTGATGGCAAACGTAAAGTCGGAATAGCTATGACTGCCATCAAAGGCGTAGGACGTCGTTATTCGAACGTTGTGCTTAAAAAGGCTGATATTGATCTAAATAAACGGGCCGGTGAATGTACCGAAGAGGAGGTAAATAAATTAAGAGATTCTTCTCCATTTCCTTACTCAACTTACTCAACAACGTCTATTCTAGGTAGAGAAAATCGTTACGATTATTGGTAATCCCCTACAGTACAAAGTGCCCAACTGGTTTTTAAATAGGCAAAAGGATATTATTGATGGTAAATACACTCAGCTGACATCGGCAAATTTGGATTCCAAACTGCGTGAAGATTTGGAACGTCTCAAAAAAATTCACTCCCACCGTGGCTGTCGCCATTACTGGGGCTTACGTGTACGCGGTCAACATACTAAAACTACTGGTCGTCGTGGCCGCACAGTGGGTGTATCTAAAAAAAAATAAAATCATGATATACTTATCCTTTTGACAAGTACGATTCTTTTGTATGAAATCTGAAGTATTTAATGGAATAACAAAAAAAAAAAATGCTGGAGCAATTAACTTTTTAAATAGTGTGATTGCACAAAGTATGGGGGAATCGCGAATATACATATAACCGAAAATTGCAATTTTTACAGAACCAACATCATAATTGCATGTACCTTAGTAATTTTGAATTTGAGGGGAGATCACTTTGATCCTCGCAATAGAAAGGACACTTCGTTATTCTTAAGTCCATAGGTTTCACATTTGATTTGTAATTTAGTGTTTTGATTAGAGATTAAAGACGTATAAGATTTTGCTAAATCTCGGGAAGACGGGATGTATATTCCACTTTCAGTGTGAAGTACGGCCTGTGTGCACATTTTCTCTCTAAAATGAACGTGGAAGATACCGCGATTAATTTTTTCTTAATAATACCAGCGACATGGGTATCAAATAAAAGAGCTTGGAGAGTAAGATGCGAAAAGCATGCGGGAATACTAGATTGGGCCTTCGCCGAATATAATTTCCTTACTTGTTTTATAATTAATCGTACCGAGCGCTTGCTATGAATCGGAAAAAATACTGATTATTTCAAAAACATTCCGCCAGCAATTTATGTATGACACAAGACGAAGATAATTTTGGAAAATTGTTTCTGTTTGTCTTTGCCTAAAAAATATGCATCAAACCCTGAGTGAAAATGCCCCCTCCAATACTAGAACTGGCCTCTGCTCTAATACGTCCCCTCATAAAGAGAAATGTGTATCCAATAAGAAAAGTATACCGTAGGTAACTCTACAAAATTTCTTTACAATCGACGTTTGATGATTGAGGAGATGGAACTTAACCTTAAATTTACGCAACCGAACTTTTTCGATTTGTTTACGGAAGCATGTTGGGGCAAATAAGATTGTTCCGTTATAAATGAGTATCCAGAACTCTTTAGTAAGATTATTTGCCGGGAATCCTTGCGGCTCCACACGCGCACGTGGCGTTATTGGAAACAAAGTCAGAAACCTTATAAAAGAAACTATGTTTATGTATGTATATGTTTATGACATAACCTCAAAAAGCAAATGAAGTAAGTACGCCTATATGAAGTAATATTCATTGAAGAAATGTCAAATTTAGAAACAAAGGAAAACGTTATAATAGGTCAAGACCCACTATTGAATACCCTACACTATCTAAGAATAGTTCATATTACGGCTTTTCAGAGCAAGGTGTGAATTGGTCGAAAAGGGGCTCGGACCCGAACCATGAATGGGTTGCGTCTTTATATCAAGACTATCAACTAATAAAACAATTATCAATTTTAATTTTTATTCCATATTTTATTGAATCGTGAAAGCTAAAATTAATTTATTCATAATAAATAAAGAAATTTTTATTTATTTATTTTTTTTATTTTCATATTATTAATAATTAGGTGGAATATATCTCTACAACAAAAATAACCAAATCTTGATGGTTACGAACTTGTCGTCGGAATTTTTTCACTTTTCTTCGGTGTTTTCGCTGCCTTCACATTCTTCATTTGAGCACGTTTCACAAGCGAAATGACCCCACACAAATATAGAGTAATTAAGAGACCACTTATTAGAAAATGCATCGCTTTCCTCCGCCAAAATTAAATTATTAATGTATATTAAAAATATTTCCCTCTTTTTATATAGCCGGCCCTGCCCAATAAATAAGAATTGCGTTGCATATTAATTTAACGATTCGCGTAAACTACTTGAAGATAAAAGGCAGAAAAACATTTAGTAGCAGATTTATAGGGATTTTAAATTATCTTCATTGAATCAATAGTTTGTAAAACGAATGCAAATTATTATCTGTGAAAAGATAAGAGACTTTGAATAGTCTCTAAAAATAGGTTATACTGAATAACATTGAAGTTTAAACCATTGAAGTAATTGACTGCTCGTTAACAACTTAAATTAATCAGCTTGGCCTTCTTAAGCTTTCTTATTCATCAATAGATAAAAAAAAAAAAATCATGAGTGATACATCAAGCAATATCGGAACACCACTACATTCTTAACATATATTTTTATATCTCATATCACTTGTCTTACAA